CATCACCGGTTCTAGTGTTGCCTTCCGGTTCCGAGATATATACTGTGTATTGCGATGCTTCACGCGTTGGCTTGGGTTGTGTATTGATGCTGGAGGGGCGAGTTATTGCATATGCTTCACATCAGCTGAAGATTCATGAGAAGAATTACCCTGTTCACGATCTAGAGTTAGCCGCAATTGTTCATGATTTTAAGATCTGGAGACATTACCTTTATGGGGTGTCATGTGAGGTTTACACTAATCATCGCAGCTTACAGCTTTTGTTCAAGCAGAGAGATCTCAATTTGAGGCAGCATAGATGGCTTGAGTTACTGAAGGATTATGACATCACCATCCTTTATCATCCAGGCAAGGAAAATATAGTCGCGGATGCCTTAAGCAGGAAAGCAGAGAGTATGGGTATCTTGGCATTCATTTCAGCAGAGGAGAGGCCACTAGCTTTGGACATTTAGTCCTTGGCTAACAGACTTGTCAGGTTTGACATTTCAGAGCCCAACCGAGTTCTTGCATGCGTTGTTGCCCAGTCTTCATTATTGGGGAAGATCAAGGCTCGGCAGTTTGATGATCCGCATTTGGCAGTTCTCAGAAAGATGGTACTACAGGGTGGTGCCAAGGAGGTTTCTATTGGCGAGGATGGTGTTCTGCGACTCTAGGGTCCCCTATGTGTTCCTAGTGTCGATGGCTTGAGGGAGAAGATTCTAGAAGAGGCACATAGTTCACGGTATTCTATTCATCTAGGTGCTACGAAGATGTATCGTGACCTGAGACAGCATTATTGGTGGCGGTGGATGAAGAAAGACATAGTGGAGTATGTAGCTAGGTGCCTAAACTGCCAGCAGGTCAAGTATGAGCACCAGAGGCCAAGTGGCCTACTTCAGCAAATGACCATACCTGAGTGGAAATGGGAGCGCATTACTATGGACTTCGTAGTTGGGTTACCGTTGACTTTGCGGAAGTTTGATGCAGTTTGGGTCATTGTCGACAAGTTGACCAAATCAGCACACTTCATCTCGATTGTGACTATGTATACTTCAGAGAAGTTGGCCCAGATTTATATTCGGGAGATAGTTCGGTTGCACGGTGTGCCTGTTTCCATCATATCAGATAGAGGCCCTCAGTTCACTTCACATTTCTAGAGAGCCGTATAGAGTGAGTTGGGGACCCATGTTGAGCTCAGCACAACATTTCATCCTCAGACCGACGGGCAGTTGGAGCGAACAGTTCAGATACTGGAGGACATGCTAAGAGCATGTGTGATTGACTTTAGAGGACAGTGGGATCAGTTCTTACCTTTGGCCGAGTTTGCTTACAACAACAGTTATCGGTCAAGCATCGAGGTGGCTCCATTTGAGGCCTTATATGGTCCGCGATGTCGTTCTCCCATCGGGTGGTTTGAGCCCGACAAGGCTAGGTTATATGGTACCGATCTGGTAAAGGATGCCTTGGAAAAGGTAAGGGTGATTCAGGAGCGACTTGCACAGCACAGTCCAGACAGAAGAGTTACGCGGATCAGAAGGCGCGTGATGTATCATTTATGGTCAGCGAGAAGGTTCTCTTGAAAATCTCGCCGATGAAGTGTATTATGAGATTCGGGAAGAAGGGCAAGTTGATCCCAAGGTTTATAGGACCATTTGATATGTTGAGGCGAGTTGGGGAGGTTGCTTATGAGCTTGCTTTACCTCCCAACCTATCAGGGGTTCATCCAGTTTTTCACGTGCCTATGCTTCGGAGGTATCACGCCGACTTGTCTCAAGAGTTAGACTTCAGAACTATTCAGATGAGAGCTTGGGTTATAAGGAGGAGCCAGTTGCTATTGTTGATAAACAGGATCGCCAGTTGAGATCCAAGAGGATTTCCGCGGTTAAGGTTCAGTGGAGGGGCCAACCAGTCGAGGAGGCGACCTGGGAGTCCGAGGAGGACATGCAGAGCAGATATCCACACTTATTCAGTACTTCAGGTATGAATCTAAATCCATTTGAGGGCGAACGTTTGTTTAAGAGGTGGAGAATGTAACGACCCGACCGGTCGTTTTGCTTTCTAGAACCCCATACCCCTGAATAAGACTTCCCGTACTTGCTTTTACTGATTTATAACTTGCGGGGACGGTTGGTTCAGGATTTGGACGAGTTTGGTTTGAAATCAGAACACTTGGTTCCTTAAGGTTGGCCTGAAAGGCCAAGTTTGACTTCTGTCAACATTTTGAGTAAATGACCTCGGAATCGGGATTTGACGGTTCCAATAGGTTCGTATGATGTTTAAGGACTTGGGCGTATGTACGGATTGGGTTTTTGATGACCCGTGAGCATTTTGGCGCCTAATAGTGAAAGTTGGTTCTTGAAGGTTTTTAGAAGTTCTTTAAATTTGGGTTGGAGCGGGTTTTGGTGATATCGAAGTCCAAATTGAATTTTGAGAGTGGGAATATTCCGTAATGTCATTTAAGACTTGCACGGAAAATTTGGTGTCATTCCGAGTAGTATAAGTACGTTTCGGCTCATTGGAAGTAAATTGAAGAACTTGAAGTTCATAAGTTTGATTCAATTGGTTTTAGGGTGTGATCCTTAGTTTTAATGTTGTTTCGGGCGTTCCGAGAGTTCGAGCAAGTCCGTTTTATGATTCCCAACGTGTTGGTATGTTCGGGCGGGGAAGCGTCAATCGGAAGAGGCCCGGACCAAGTTGAAAGTTGGAGCAAGAGCTGAAGCTACAACTACTGTCATAACCGCACCTGCAGTTGGTCAACCGCAGATGCGAGCTCGCAAGTGCGGTCCAAGCACCGCAGAAGCGGTAAAGGAAGGGCAACTCAGGTGCCGCAGAAGCGGCTCCCTTTTCGCAGAAGCGGGACCGCAGGAGCGGGAGCTTATCTGCAGATGCGACGCCAGCCAGCCCATTTCCGCAGAAGTGGGGGCGCAGATGCGGCGCAGTGATCGCAGGTGCGGAAAAGTTGGAGGCAGTGCACTTCATTTAATACGGGACTTAGGCATTTTTGACTCATTTTCACTCTATTGTTGGGCGACTTTCGGAGCTTCTTGAGAGGGATTTTCATCTAGCTTTTGGAGGTAAGTAATTTCTACCATATGTGAGTTAAGTACTTAGATTATGGGTAGAATAACATGTATAAATTGTGAAAATCATGGGTCTAGATGAAAAACCTAGGGATTGACAAGAATGAGAGTTTTACCATTAAAGTGACCCTGAAACTTTGTGATAATCATATATTTATGTTCCTTAGGTTATGGGTAACAACTTTCTTCGAAAATTTTCGAAATCCGGGCACGTGGGCTCTGCGGTGAATTTTAGGAATCTTGCCTTTGGGGTTGGGTAATCACTTTAATAGTTAGAATATGAACGTTTGAACCTATAATGATTGGTTTTACACTAGTTGAATAGTTCTGGATTGTTCAGCTCCGATTTGAGGATTTGAGTGCATTCTTGAGTTGGAAGTAGGCTTTGAAGCAAGGTAAGTCTCTTTTCTAACCTTGTATGAGGGAAATTTCCCTATAGGTGAACTTAATTAATATGTGGTTATTTGTGGGAGCAATGTACGCATGAAGTGACGATAGTCCATACGTAGCTACTATTTCTGTTATGTCCGGGTAGTTTTAGGTTTTACCATGCTTTGTGGACACCATTATATGATTATATGTGCTAATTGTAACAAAGGGAATTATGTGTTGAGGATTTCTAAGGATTTAAACGCTTCAAGTTGAATTGTCTTCATTTCTTTTAAAGAATCATGAAAGGGTTATGATTTAAATGGTAAAATTATGTTTGACCGCGTCGTACGTATGATCCGCGAGCGGGGTTATGTTTTGACCGCGTCGCATGTATGATTCGCGATTGGGTTGAATAGATGCATCTATGGTTCGCTCCTTTCGACCCTCGGCAGTGCACAATTTACTTTTATGTTGGATCGGGCCGAACGTCCTCGGTGGTATTTGTGTGCGATAATAGAGCTGGAACTCTTTATAGTTTGTATGATTTGTTGCTTGAAAAGTCACTTGTTTTAAATAAAGAAAGTTCCTTGACTTCTTAAATATGATGGAAGGATTTTCCAGTTATTATTCTTGTTTGAGCTTGTTGTTATCTACATACATTATGATATAAAAATTGGAACTTCATATTATTATATTGTTGGTCCTAGTAAGTGTCGGAGTCGATCCCTCGTCACTACTTCTTCGAGGTTAGACGAGATACTGGGTACATATTTTTATGTACTCACGCTACACTTCTATACTTGATTGTAGATGATTTGAGGCATGTGCATCTGGCCATCAGTCCAGCGCGTAGACTTGACTCCCCAGCTTGAGACTTCCCCGTGAACTGCCCTTTTGAGCCGTTTTGCAGCAGCTGGAGTCTCTCTTATATCTTTATTTTCCTGTCTATTTCATTTCAGACAGTAAGACAGTATGGTTTTGTATATTCTACTAGATTGCCCAATACTTGTGACACCAGGTCTTGGCACACACACTAGTAGACTTATGGTATTGGTTTACTTACATGATTACAATTCGTATTTATTGCTTCCATTTATTTATGTTAAAATTTCAAACTCCTAAGCTTTTTATCAAATAAGGAGAAGTTATCACTTGCTAATTTATTTAAAATGGAAATTCACTAGTTGATTAGTGTTGACTTGCCTAACAACGGTATTGGGGCGCCATCACGGCCTATAATGAAATTTGGGTCGTGACAGGATCAGGTGGGGTTTTTAAAAAAACAATTCCGACCGACTTGGTCGGAATTGTCATTTCAATTTTTTTTTAAAAGTACCGACCAAATCGATCGGAATTGAAGTCAAACAAGTCAAACTAATTTTTTCGCCAAAAGTTGCAACCGATTTGGTCGGAAATGTGGTTGAATTTTTTTAAAAAATATATAGGTGATATTATTTTTACAATTCATTCCGTCGGAAATTTCCGACAAAAATTTTCAGTCTGAAATTCTTGATTTTCTAGTAGTGTCGTGGATTTCGGGAGATTAAGTACCCAAGTGGAATAGTTAAAGATAGTCGTAAACAGTAATTTATCTTTTTTAAATGTTGTGATAGTTTAATTTCCTTTACATTAACTTGCCGTCAATTAGCGGTAAGAAGTATTTAATGATGCTTCTTTTGGGCAGGTGAGAGTTAGAGAAACAGGCTCTTTTAAAGTAAATGATGAAGCTTTGCGTTTTCATCAGTCTTCAACCACCGACTTGCTTATCTTTTACATAGATTAGTGCACCATCTGACTTGTTAAACTATATTTCTCTGTTAGCCTGACCCAGAATTCTTTGCACCTCTCAGAATGTTTTGCCTCTATAATCGTTCCTTTCAATGATCTCTCTATAAAAAGAACATTTGTTTCAGTGTATTGTTCTGTGACATTTGTTAATTCTCACAACCAAATAAATCTTGAAACAGAAGATGGTTAGCTCAAGTAATTGGAGCCTCTCCATTTTTTCTTCTCTTCTTGCAATTCTCATTCTCACCGTTCCTTGTTTTTCTGAGAAAGGTACGTATCTGTTCATGCTCTAAAGTTGCCGTGATTAATTCTTCTTTGCTTCCATTTTCTCCTTCTTTGCAAGATCTATTGTAAAGATCGAATTATGTTTTCATTTTCGCGTAAAGAATTTTTTACATTATTGGTGTTTCTGTGCATTCTAACATGCTTTAGCAGGTTTTATCTTATTTTTTTGGGTTACTAATTCTACTTATTGTGAGAAACTACATGTAGTTCTCTTTTAGGTGACACGTTAGTAAACTGTATAGAAACTAAGCTCTTTGTAAACATATAATAAAAATGAAGGTGGTAAAAGTACTAGTTTTGTTTCTATGCATGCAGCCCCATATTCCACATTCGCAAAGGACGCTACATCAGCACCAGAGGTGGTATTCTTCGATTATATCGTTATAGGAGGAGGAACTTCTGGCTGTGCATTAGCAGCAACTCTCTCACAAGGTTCCAATGTTTTGTTATTGGAAAGAGGTGGCTTGCCTTATGGTAACCCAAACATCACAAACATTACTGGTTTTGCCAACAATTTAGCAGACACTTCTCCTTCATCGCCCGCACAACTCTTCATCTCTACCGACGGCGTATTCAACCACCGTGGCCGTGTCTTAGGCGGCGGCTCGGCTGTTAATGCCGGGTTCTTTTCACGGGCAAGCAAAGGCTACGTTAAGAAAATGGGATGGGATGAAAAGGTAGTGAATGAAGCGTATGAATGGGTTGAAAAGAAAGTGGCGTTTCAGCCACAGATAAAGCAGTGGCAATCGGCGGTGAGAAATGGTCTTGTGGAAGTAGGGGTGAAACCATATAATGGTTTTACGTATGAACATTTGTTTGGAACTAAAGTTGGTGGTACCATTTTTGATCCACAAGGTCATAGACATACTGCTGCTGATTTATTAGAGTATGCTGATCCTACCAAAATTACTGTTTATTTGTATGCAACCGTGCAACAGATCTTGTTCAAAAAAGAAGGTAACTGCATAAATTTTTTCATTTCTCTTTTTCGTTTCCTTTTTCTTTTTTTTTTTATTTTTTCTATTCGCAACTCCTTACAAAATGAGTATACACAAATAAAATTACAAGATTTAGAGTACGAGGATGGGATTATTTTATTTTCATTGATTGTCTCGTTTATTCATACATCGATTTCTTAATTTCTAAAAATGAGTATTACATATTTTGAAATCAAATAATAAGTACCATAAGTCATACTATCAAATCTTAAAGTCAAATGGTACCGACAAAAATCTAGTAATAAATATGGTTTAAAACAAGTCATAAATATATCTATGACTATGAATCATCTCACTAGAGATATTAAGTTAATTTTTTTTAAATAACAAAGTATAATATTTTTTGGGGACAACCAAAAAAAAGAAAACTATGACATTTTCTTTTTGGAAACAGACGAAATACTAACGGGCAAATACACATTTGGCCGGTCGACCAAATATAATTATATTCTTTAGCTGAATATACAAAAAATATATACTAATTTTGTATAAAATATATATATTATACGTTAATATATAAAAAATATATATTTTTTAACTATTATTTTAGGGAACGGCTATACAGTGTAGTATTCCAAATACTAACACTGTCATTAATTACTGAAAATGAAGCAGGAGGAAGCAAGCCAAGAGCTTATGGAGTTCGGTTTCAAGATTCAAAAGGTAATAGCCACATGTCGTACTTGAGCGAGGGATCCAAAAACGAGGTCGTTTTGAGCGCTGGAGCGTTGGGAAGCCCACAAATGTTGATGTTAAGTGGTATTGGGCCGGCAAAGCAATTGAAGGCCCATGGGATCTATATTTTGGTGGATCAGCCCATGGTTGGTATGGGTATGTCAGATAACCCAATGAATGCTGTCTTTGTTCCTTCTCCTCACCCTGTTGAAGTTTCTCTTATTCAAGTGGTTGGTATTACTGGCTTCAAAAGTTACATTGAAGCTGCCAGTGGGCCTTTGGAATTGGATTGGATGCGAAGGATCGCCCATGATTTTAAAAATATAGCTAATCAGGTGAGATCAGAATAGCTCATTTTCATAATAAGTATTAGGCATTGGTAGCTTATGTCACTAATCGAAACATTAATTTGACATAATTTGACCCTGAAAGAGGCACTATTCACTAATCAAACATTAATTAATTAGACTCCATTACTAAAAATTTTACTTTGCAATCATCTCCTATAAACGGGGTTCATGAGCACAAAATAATGTAACCTTCATTTGAACATGACAAATTTATGAAAATTTTTTGCGTGGTGTTTGATTAAAAATTTTGGTATTAAAAGTAGTTTTCAGTCACATTTGTTTTAAAAAAAATAAAGAAGAATTTGAGAAGCAAGACAATTATATTTTTTCAAAATAACTATGCAAGCAGTTCCACTAGTAAATTCTACTCCCTCCGTTCCAATTTATGTGAACCTGTTTGACTGGGCACGAAGTTTAAGAAAAAATGAAGACTTTTGGAATTTGTGGTCCTAAACAACTCAAAAAGAGGCCCCGAGTATTTGTGTGGTTATAAAAGCTTCTCATTAAGGGTAGAATTGTAAGTTTAAGTTAAATTGTTTTCAAATTTAGAAAAGGGTCATTCTTTTTGGAACGAACCAAAAAGGAAATAGGTTCACATAAGCTGAAACGGAGGGAGTAACATTTTGAGGATTGACTAGAAAAAAGAGAATAAGAGATATCATACTGTCAAACCTCTCTATAATAGACTCGTTTGTTTCGAATATTTTGGATGTTATAGTGAAGTGCTGTCATAGCACTTCTTTCGTTCCAATTTATGTGAACATACTCCTTTCGTTCCAATTTATGTGAACCTGTTTGACTGGGCAGAGAGTTTAAGAAAAAATGAAGACTTTTGTAATTTGTAGTCCTAAACAAGTTAAAAAGGGACTCAGAATATTTGTGTGGTTATAAAAGCTTCTCATTAAGGGTAGAATAGTAAGTATTGTTTCTAAATTTAGAAAGGGGTCATTCTTTTTGGAACGGACCAAAAAGGAAATAGGTTCACATAAACTGCAACGGAGGGAGTATATCATAACATAACATAAAAATTGTTTCCGAAAACTTGGCTTTTATAGCAAAGTGTGTTATATAGGGGTACTGTTATAGAGAGGTGTGACTCTACTTGTATTGCAGTAACTAAAGAGATTCTTTGATAGTGTAACTTGTAATGGTCATCGGTGAATTATTAATTTTTTATTTTCATTTGGTGCAGACTATGGACCCATTGAAAATACCTTCAGAAGTGCACTTCCCCAAAGGCATACCAGGGATCAACCCACACCTTCTACACACCCCAATGCAAGCTGGTCTCATCCTAGAAAAAGTAGCAGGACCATATTCAACAGGTTTTCTTGAACTTAAAAGCAAAGACCCAAATGAAAATCCAAAAGTAACTTTCAACTATTTCAAAGATCCAAGAGACTTACAAAGATGTGTACAAGGCATGAAAACAATAGCAGAGGTCATAGAATCAACATCTTTCTCCAAATTCAGATACCCTTTTACTTCAGCACAATCTTTAATGGATACAATGTTGACTTTTCCACTTAACTTGAGGCCAAGACATTTGAGTGCCTCTGTTTCTTTAGAACAATTTTGTATAGACACAGTAATGACCATATGGCATTATCATGGAGGTTGTCAAGTTGGAAAAGTGGTTGATAGAAATTATAGAGTTTTTGGGGTTGATGGATTGAGAGTTATTGATGGATCCACTTTTATATACTCCCCTGGCACTAATCCTCAAGCCACTGTCATGATGCTTGGAAGGTAAATTAAGTTTAACAAATCTTGATCATGTTTCTGTATTTTTATGTTGAACTAATAATCATAGGTAATGATTTGTATAAATGTGATGCAGGTACATGGGGCAGAAGATTTTGAAAGAGAGACTTGCTGGTGGAAGGAAATAAAAGGTGTTTATATATAGTTAATTTGTACTGGGGAAGAAAATGTTGGATTATCGATTTTTGTGTATGTTTTCTTTATTTATGAGGACTTGAACAAATTTAATAAAAGGTAGTTGTAACTCATTAGTTTTGTTAAACTTGAATGTCAATGCTTTCTCGCCATGTGCAAATAATGCAATACGATATGGAAACATTCATCTCAAAACAAATAGTTGGTCTTCATGTCTTCACTTGGGGTCAATTGATTCACATCTTCCTTTCTCTATACTAGTGTAGGTATTCGCGCGATGCGCGATCAATTTTAAGATTTTGCTTGTTATAAAATAATTTATATGTTATAATAATTAATATAGTACTTTTAAAAGATAAACCAATATAAATGCTTAGTTCATTGTCTAAATTTATTAACCATAATTATTAGCATTATTTAATTATTTACTATATTTATTTTACAGATTAATCAAAATCATAAATATACTCAAACAATCTCTATCATCCACTGTTATGCATTTTTTTACTATAATATTATTAATTAATATTTTATTTAGTGTTTTACCTATAATTCAAATAATAATTTTGAACTACTTTTATTTTGTTTTCAATATGATATATTAAATTTTAACTATTGATATTATCTACACATAAATTTACATTAATGTTATTTTTATTCAATATCTATTATGATTTCAGTTAGACAGCCTTATCTGTACAATATATTTTTTTGAAATTCCTATTATTTATTTTTTGTTATTTTTGTTTTTTATTGTAAAATAATTTTAAAACTCCTATTTGAATGAGTAGAATATTTTTTTGTATTTTTATTTTTTATTGATAATTATAATATCTATATTTATTAATTCAAGCAGTGTAACTAATTAATTCAAAATTTAAAATTCAATAAAAGTTAGTTAGAAAAGTAGTTTATTTTGTCTTAACAATGCCACTTGGCTTTTTGTGCTTAAGACACTTGTCTTAATGTAGTGGTTTTGCTTCTCCTATTCTATATAGATAGATTTTTCTACCAAAGCTCTGTTCTTGTTCTTCTTCTTTTTTTTTTTTTTTTTTAAAGAAAAGTTCTTTTTCCGCTTGACGACAATATTTTCCTATTTAAATTGCTTTCTTTCATGTGTGATGAGATTTTGTTTAACTGTTCAGTGCTAATGAGTAATGACCTCCAAATATTCTTTTATGAAAGCTAATACATATCTATAATAGTTGGTCTATCAATTTTTGTCCAAATATAATTTTTCATTAGAAAATATTACTTGGAATATATGACATACACAAAGAAGCATGTAAATGATATCATTTTATAAATATATAAATACACCGGATATTAATACATTCAAGTCTATTCAAATTCTATTATTTTTTTTAAATTACAATTTTATTATTGAAGTAGTCGAAGAAATTGAAAAAATTCATGATAAGCGTAGGTAATTATCCAAGTCTATCCAAATCAAGTTAAGCGTAAGTTGGGTAATTAGTTTTCAAATGGGTAGAAAAGGGTAATTATTTTAAGTTCAATGGGTACTTTACATAATTTGCTCTTCAAATTTAATACCCGTTTTTGCCAAATCGAAACTTATTTTAATTTCTATTCTATGCGGCCCAAACATATTACCCGGCTTGCAAAATTTCTTTCGCTCATTTAATTTGTCTGAAAGACGCGTTTGTGAGACCAAAATGTTACTTTCTCTTTCAAAACCCCATACCTTTGTCTTCTCTATTGTATACGGCCGAAATCGGAGAGTCCGATTTTACGATCATTTTGGCATTCCATAGCCCGTCTCCAGAAGGCCCGAGGCACAGCTGAAGGTTCGACCCCGAGGGTTCCCTATGCTCAACCTCGGGGCAGCGCATATCGGCGGCTATCTTGGACAAATGGGTAATTCCCAAGGCACGTGATTAAAGCTGACCAGGTCTACAAGAATAGTACAAGTCCGTACCGTGACATTAAATGGTTGTACCAGCCGTTGATCTTTGCAATTAATGGTTGTACTGACCGCATATCTTTGTAATAAATGCACCTGTATTGTTATGGGATTCCCCCTCCTATATAAAGGGGATCCTTGTCATTTTTTGCACACATGATATTCAATAGAAGAAGAAGAACATTCTCTGCTCTCTAACTTAAACATATTCTCCCCTGATTTTATTGCTTATATTTACTACATTGCTTACATTTATTTCGCTTCATCGATTGTTCTTCGTTTATTGCTCATCATTGATCATAAAGAGCCCTCATCAAAGCTGTTAGAACTGTTAGTGCTTCATCGGCCATCTCCAGTCGGGCTCATTAGCTTAACCTCGAGGTCCCGTATCGGCTAGCTCGAGACCCCGACTCTCAGCCACTCGATTTGCTTGTCACGCTATCTTTAGCCCTTACCTTATTCTCTAGTCTCATACTTAGCATCCATTGCCTAAACAACTAGCATAAAAATAAATCACGCAGTTTTAGAATCACAAAATTAAATCTAATTGTAATTACCATTTTCAAAGTAAACAGTTTGGCGCCCACCGTGGGGCTAAAAATAATAGTAATTATTTTCGTGCTGGTTTATTGAATAACGCAAGTTATCTTTCACAATTTTTCTTGTCCAAGAATATTTGATTTCAGGTCAAAATGTCTAACTCAGTGAATGCACGTGAGAACAACGGTCCCGAGGACCATGGAGAGAATGGTGTAGCTGTTCCAGGCATCGGTGTACCACCGCAAAACCCTGAGGATGCACCAGAACCAATTCCTGTGGACGTGGTCTCGCGCAACGCCCAACACATCGATATAAGCTCCCACACTAACAGGAGTATACGCCAAGAAAACCAACAAGAAGCTCAAAAAATCCCAGCTCGGGAGGAACGAGAGGTTAGCCTTTATGTCATTTTTGAGATGTTGCAGGCACAACAGCTGGTGATTGCTCAACCGCAAAGCCACCAAAAAACTCCGAGCACAGCAGCACCGGAAACGGCCCCTCAAGCCGAACAGGTACCAGAAAGATCAAGCAACAACAGGCCAGTAGCCAACCCCGCTATCATAAAGATGCTCGAGGACCTCACAAAGAGGATTGAATCGGGCAAAAAGAAGATAGAAGCCAATGACAAAAAGGTGGAGACCTACAATTCAAGGGTCGATCAAATCCCAGGCGCACCCCCGATTCTGAAGGGTGTAGATTCAAAGAAATTTGTACAAAAGCCATTCCCATCAAATGCTGCTCCAAAGCCCATCCCGAAGAAATTCAGAATGCCCGACCTTCCGAAGTACAACGGAACCTCGGACCCAAACGAGCACGTCACTGCTTACACTTGTGTGATGAACGGCAACGACCTGAAGGACGACGAGATTGAATTCGTCCTGCAAAAAAAGTTCGGAGAAACACTTTCAAAAGGGGCCATGATGTGGTATCACAACCTAGCCCCGAATTCGATAAACTCATTTTCCATGGTGGCAGATTCTTTTATAAAGGCACACGCCGGTGCCATCAAGGTTGCTACAAGGAAATCTAACGTCTTCAAAATCAAACAGAGGGAAAACGTGATGCTACGGGAGTTTGTATCTCGCTTTCAAATGGAGCAAATGGAATTACCACCAGTCTCCGATGACTGGGCAGTACAGGACTTCACTCAAGGTTTTAATGAACGAAGCTCGGTAGCTTCAAAGCAGCTGAAGCAGAACTTGGTTGAATATCCCGCCGTGACTTGGTGGGATGTCCACAACCGATATCAGTCAAAGATTAGGGTCGAGGACGACCAACTAGGAGCCCCCTCAGGCTCAGTATATCCTAACAGGCTCTTGGCAAAGGAACCAAGTCCAAACAAGGAAAGGTACCAACCGTATACCGATGATCGAAGAAACGCCCCAAGGCGTAACATACCCCGAAATGATCGAAGGGCAGATGGAGGTTAGAATCCTCGGGGACTCGTGAGCAGAGCCAGATTCGATAGACATACAGGGCAGACAAAGGCACCCCAATTATCTGAGTACAACTTCAATGTCGATGTTTTGGACATTGTATCAGCCATAGGTAAAATTAGAGACACCAGGTGGCCAAAACCCGTACTATCAGATCCGTGGCAAAGGAACCCCAACCTGACATACGAATTTCATGGCACACACGATTATAGGACCGAAGATTGCAGACAGCTCCGAGAAGAAGTAGCCCGACTACTTAACAAAGGACACCTTCGAGAGTTCCTCAGCGACCAAGCCAAAAATGCATTTCGGGAAAGAGAGGCGAACAGGAAAAATGAAATAGAAGAACCACAACATGTCATCCACATGATTGTTGGGGGAGTTGACATCCCACAGGAACCCATTGTCAAACGAACAAAAATATCCATCACCAGGGGAAAGCGAACTCGAGGTTACATACCCGAGGACGCTCTCACATTCAGCGATGAGGACATCGAGACCCTGTCTCAGCCTCATAACGATGCACTGGTAATTTCTTTTATTGTGAATACATTTCAAATTAAACGTGCACTTGTGGACCCAGGTAGCTCGGCCAACATTATCAGGTCGAGGGTGGTGGAGCAGCTTGGACTGCTCGACCAAATCGTTCCCGCTTCTCGAGTCCTCAACGGATTCAACATGGCGAGCGAGACAATGAAAGGAGAAATCACCCTCCCGGTCAATGTGGCCGGCATAACCCAAAATGCCAAGTTTCATGTCATCGAAGGAGACATGAGATACAATGCCTTACTCGGAAGGCCATGGATACACTGCATGAGAGCAGTACCGTCAACCCTTCATCAAATGATAAAGTTTCCAACAAAGGACGAAATAAAAACCATATACGGGGAGCAGCATGCAGCGAGAGAGATGTTCGCGGTGCACGATGTGGCACCGGCATCGACGCCTTCAACATCGAAGGAGCCAAAGGATAAGCAAACAACGAAGTAGCACTCACGAGCTGCATTCTCGGCTGTACCCAAGTCAATTAGCAAAGGACCGTACTGCGTCCCCGGAGCAAACATTTGAAGAATATCGAGGCTCGAAGTGCCATCACTATTAAGGTATAACCGTCTCCCTTTTTCTTCACATCTTACACTAACCTATATGCAGGAGTCCGGTTAGAAAAATCGAAGCACTTTCCCGCTTGAATACTTTAGATTTTAAAGCATGCGTTGCACTCTTTCCCTTCGATCGGATTTTATCCCAAGAAGGGTTTTACCGGCAA